AGGGGGGCGGGGAGGGGGTGGGCACGGGGGACCAGGCAGGGGGGCGGGGAGGGGGTGGGCTCCTGTGTGCTCCCAGGGCTGCTGTGAAAGGGGGGATCGGTACTCCCTCAAGTCCCAGCCGTGCTCCTCACTGAGCGTGGGACTCAACCCGAGCCTCAGTTTCCTCATCTGAACAATAGGCCCCCTGGGATTGCTGGCCATGGAGGAGGGTTTGTAGCTAGAGGTCACCCCTGCAGGGAGAGCTGCCTCCCTCCTCCCTCCTCCCTCCCTCCTCCCTCGCTCCCTCGCTCCCTGGCTCGCTGGCTCTCAGGTGGGGCAGTGTAGACCCAGCTCTGCTGGGGATGAAGCTGCCTGGCCATCGCTCCCAGGGGCGGCGGTGGACTTCCCATGGGGGTCAGGGTGTGGGGGCCGAATTCCTCCGTCCGTGTGCGCACGGCGCCAGAGGCACCGGCCTGGCAGAGGGACGGCCACCTGCCGCTCGCTCACAGGGCCGCCGTCCACCTCGGCCGCCCTCTGCTGCTGCCCTCGGCGCAGGGGCTCGGTGGGGCTGGGGTCTGCGGGGCTCGGGAGGGCGGGCGGCACCCCGGCCATCCGTGATGGCCCGGCACAGGGCTCGGCTGGGTTTGGTCTGAGGTCATTCACCAAAGCCTGGGTTCGGGGGCCAGGCTTGAGACGCAGGGACACCCCCAGCCATCACCGTGGCCCGTGGCACTGTGGGGCGCCCTCCCCTCCCCTCCCCTCCCCTCCCCTGTGGTTCCATTGAGGCCCAGAGCCCCCGAACCCCATGTCCCCCCCAGACCCGCTCCCGGGCCCAGTCTCCACCATGGCCTCAGGGCCAGGCGGCGTAGCCGGAACGTTCTAGAATGGCGTCGGGGTGCGGCGTGCCCCCGCCCCTCCCGCCGCTCACCCGGGTCGTCCTCATCGCGCGGCACCTTCTTGAAGCAGTCGTTGAGCGAGAGGTTGTGGCGGATGGAGTTCTGCCAGCCAGCCTTGCTGCGGTTGTAGAAGGGGAAGTTGTCGGCCACGTACTGGTAGATCTGGCTGAGCGTGAGGCGCCGGTCGGGGGCGCCGTGGATGGCCATGGCGATGAGCGCCGAGTA